AGCTCTCCAACCAATAAAAGCTATTCAGCTTGTATTAAGAAAGTGACAACCAAGGTGGAGAAGCCTTTTTAGCCATCTCATTTCTGGTTGAAGGAATTTCCGTGTCTTTGTTCTAACCCTTATGACTTAAGAGGTAAGCTGCAAAAGGCTGGCAAGTATTAAAAACCCTGGGGGCCAAAATCTGTGGTTTTTAAGCCACCTCTTTTTTCTTAAAAGCCAAATGCCCTTTTTTTTATTGTGTGGTTGGGAGGGTGGGAGTGAGTTCTGGTGAAATCTTACCAGCTGCAAGTGTGATTTTTTATTTTATTTTAAGTTTCTGTATGACTACAAAAAATATATATGCTGGAACATGGATGAGCTACCCGTTGTGAAATATTGAAAAACAGAGGTATACGTAGCTACCTGTCCTCCCACACTTGCTTATAGGGTTCCTGAAATAGTAACTTACATTATAGAATTGTTACTTGATGATAGTACATAGGCTAAAAACTTAGCCAGCTCAGCTCTGGAGAAGGCAATCATCATCATCTTAGGACAGCAGACCTGGAAGGGACCGGACGGATCATCTAGTCCAGCCCGTCAAGGAGGCCCAGAGGGGGAATCGAACTCCCAACCTTTAGCGCTCTGCAACCGGAGACTTCAACCAGCAGAAGATGCTGCGTGCAGAATGAAATGTGGAGGGAAGGGAGACAAGACAGATCGGCAGAGGCCAGGAGGTGGATGGGATAACGTAATCAGGATCAGACCATGTCAGGTTACCGTTGCATGTAAAAAGGCCGTTGATGTCAAAGGATCCTGCAGTTCTTTGAGAAAAGGCTTTAAAAAAAAACACACACACAGCAGATCAGAGCTCCTGGCAGCAGAGTTTCGTGATTCATTGGTTAGAACAGCCCATTCTTTAAGCTAGCAAAAGAATTTCTCCATAATGGATCAGTGAGTGGGGCCAATTCTTAATAAGCCTCATGCCAACATTTTCAAATTGAATTAAGTTTAGTGTCAGACTTTACCAAATCCGTCAGTAAGCCAGCAGGTTACACTGGCTGGAACAAAATGTTTCCTTAAACAACAAAAAAAGAAGAAGCCTAATAGGTTTATTGGGATAATTTTTTAAATCCCTTTTATTTGGGTTAAAAAGCAAGCTGAAAATGGCAATCGATTGAAACTTGGACACCTTATTTCCAGCTCTGCAGGTGACTGAGGTGAAGAATGTCTACTTTGTAGGTTTAAATCTGCCTGGATTTTGGAACAAAAACATGATTCTGGGGTCTAAAATGCCTCATTCTGGTGCATGACGGTATTGGGTAACTGTTATGTTTCATCAAATTGCCTCTGACTTATGATGGCTCTATGAATGAATTATCAACAAAAGGTCCTGTTCTCAGCAGCTCGGCTCGGTTCTTGTAAACTTGAAATTGTGGCTCCCTTGATGGAGTCAGTCCATCTCATATTGGGTCTTCCTCTTTTCCTGCTGCCTTCCCCCTTTCCCAGCCGTATTGCATTTTTCCAGAGAATCCTGCCTTCTCATGATGTGCTCAAAGTAGGACAGCCTCAGTTTCAATATTTTTGCCTTCAGAGAGCGTTCAAGCTTGATTTGATCTAGGACCCACTTGTCCGTCTATCTGGCAGCCCAGAAAGCTCTCCTCCAGCACCACACTTCAAACAAATTCATTTTCCCCCTTTCAACTTTCTTAGCTGTCCAGTTTTCGCGACTACACAGAGTGATCAGGAATACAAAAGCGTGGATGGTCTTTTCAGAGAGCGTTCAAGCTTGATTTGATCTCGGACCCACTTATCCGTCTATCTGGCAGCCCAGAGTATCCGGAAAGCTCTCCTCCAGCACCACACTTCAAACAAATCCATTTCTCCCCTTTCAACTTTCTTAGCTGTCCAGCTTTCGCGGCTACACAGAGTGATCAGGAATACAAGAGCGTGGATGGTCTTGGTCTTCAGAGGACAGGAGCCAGAACTCTGTCTTGTGTTCTGTTGTAGTGTGTGGGATAGTTGAGTATTTGTGATACCCGACACACTGCACCAGAACACAGAGAGAGTTCCTACTCCTGTCCTCTGAAGATGCCGGCCACAGAGACTGGTGAAACGTTAGGAAGGAAAACCTCCAGAACACGGCCAAACAGATCAAAAAAACCTACAACAACCGCCAGATCCTGGCCGTAAAAGCCTTCGAGAATACAATAAAAACGTTTCATTACTTACAGTTGTGAGCAGATCAAGGAACAACCAGCTGGCTTCCAACAGACTAAAGAGAAGGGGGAAAAAAGCTCAGCAGAAAGGTGGAGCCTTCTTTGAAGGCAGGAAGCAACGATTGGTTAGTGCTGGATTGATTGACAGTCATAAGTCCCTCCCATCCTATACTACAGACAGCATGCAGGATTGTAAAGACTCCAGCACATTTTTATGATTGGTTAGTGCTGGATTGATTGACAGAAAAGTCCCTCCCAGCCTATAGACAGCATGCAGGGTTGTAAAGACTCCAGTACATTTTTCGTTTCTCCATTGCATTATGTAGATTACTCCTGACACTGTTTGTACAGAGCCACTGTTTTAATTGACTAGTGTCCCAACTATCTCTGCTTTCCAGAAAAGTCCCTCCCAGCCTATAGACAGCATGCAGGGTTGTAAAGACTCCAGTACATTTTTCGTTTCTCCATTGCATTATGTAGATTACTCCTGACACTGTTTGTACAGAGCCACTGTGTCCCAACTATCTCTGCTTTTGAAATAGGACTCCAGAAACCAGGGTTCAAATCCTAATTCAGCCATCAAACTCACTGGGTGACCAAGTGACCCATTCTCAGTCTGACCTACACCACAGGGTAATTGTGAGGATGAAAAGAGGAGGAGGAGGAGGGCCCAATAGGCCACCCTTAGCTCATGAAAGTGGAATCAAAATGGAAGAAAGATATGAAGAAGCACTACAAAGGCCAATTCAAAAATTCCCATTTTTTAAAAAAAAACAGCTGCCAGAATTTGAACCTGGACAGTTTTGTTTGTATCACTTCTTACCAATTTTGAGAGGTTCAGGGATCTCCTTGGTTACTTCATTGGCCAGTGCGGTGTGCTTTATGACTAAAGCATCTTTAAAGCTTTGCTTTCCCCGAAGTTGCATTCTTTAAAAACAAACTGATTTTTGCATTCTTTTTTTAAATGCATGGTTTGTCTCTGAAATGCAGTGGTAAACTGCAGCATCGACTGCTTATTTATAAGGCCAGTGTTTATGGAGGTCTGAGCATTTACTGAAAGAGGAAGTGAAGTGTGGGTTGTGCAGGAAATCTTAAATTACAGGCTTCTTCCTTTATTGCTTAAACCACACCTGTTATCAGAACCGCCTTTGCAAAATTTGGTTATTTAGGTAGCCTGTTAGGTTCATAGCACTGTTTGGTGGGAAGGGAATTCCCCGAAAGTCCACCTAATTCACTCCCCCCCCCCTGTTGCTGCAAAGCAGATTAAAAGTCCAGAGTTCCAAAAGCTGTTTGAAAATCATTCTAGAATGAATTACATTTCATTCATCTAGAAATGCCATCTTTAATTTTAATCAAACTTTGATTGACATCTCAGTGGGCGGCAGAAAGGATGATGCCATCTTTTACTAACTAATTAAGATTAATAACAGTCATAGGAATAATTACTCAAGTGGGAGTAGGCTTGTGGAAGAAATGTCATTTTTATTTGTTTGAATTAAGAATTCTTATTATTATCAGCTGCATGAAATATAACAGGGAAAATCCACTAAGTCCCTCCCCTTTCCATTAGGGTGTGGCCGTTCTGGAGCAACTGGCTAGTCAAAA